CCTTTGATCTTCGCTCGATGTTACTCCTTCTGTTCTATTTTCTCTATGCTTTAACCATGTCACTGACAGAAGCACCACTTCTTTTTAAGAGACTGAGTGAGAATAAACGCCGAGAGGCCTTATTACAATTTTCACTCACATGATTATCCCAACTTAAGTTATTTGTGACATTAACGCCTAGAAGTTTAAGTTTATCAACATGAGAAATTGTATTATCCCTAATAATAAACAATTCAATAACAGTGGGTTTCTTAAGGAAACTTATTTTCATGTGGTGACATTTGGTTTAGGAATCATGTAATTATGGGAACTCCAGTTAGTGAGATCATCTAAATTGGTCTGCAAAGTGGAATTATTCCCGCGTTGGACACATTCTTCAATAGTTAGGTCATCAACATATTTCCATCGTCTGCAGCTACCTAGACAAGCATCATTAATTAAAATTAAGAAGAGGATCGGACCCAATTTTGTACCCTGAGGGACCCCACAAGTAACCGTGTTTAAAGATGAGAGTGTATTGTGTAGTTACCCAGCCAGCAGCATGCTGACTGGGTTCTGTTTCCTAGCAGTTTCTTCCTTCTTTCTTTCTTTCTTTACCCAGTCAGCAGCAGCTGACTGAGTTCTGTTTCTTAGCAGTTTCTTCTTTCTTTCTTTCTGGCAACATTTTAAAAGGCTACTAGTGGCAAACTACTGGATCAATTTAATTAAAACTTGGTCAGTAGGACCGGTTCCCCCTCCCATTTATGTGTTGTTCACAACTTGGGGTCAAAGGTCACATAAGGGGCATTAGGGTCAAAAAACCAAAAATCGTATAAAAGACTACTTGTCTCACAAATTACGTAGCACAGTCTTGTCCTTTGCACATATACATTGGCATAAGGCAGAGTCTATAGGGTGTTCAGGGATAAGAGGTCAAAGGTCATTAAGGGGTAATTTTTATCTTTTTTCTGGCAACATTTTAAAACGCTACTAGTGCCAAACGGTTGTACCGATTTCAACCAAACCTGGTCAGTATAATCGGTGACACCTCTCATACATGGGGGTGTTCGCTGCTTGGGGTCAAAGGTCACATAGGGGCCATTAGGGTAAAAAACTTTCAAAAAAATGAATAAAAGACTTCTTCTGTCACAAATAACATAGCACAGTCTTGTCCTGGGTACATATGTATTGGCATAAGGTAGGGTCCTTATGGTGATCAGCGATTTATGGTCAAAGGTCATTAAAGGGTTATTCTTTTGTTCTCTCTAGTAACATTTCGAAATGCTACTAATGGCAAACCATTGGACCACATTCAATCAAATTTTGTCATTAAGAACTGGCGACACCTCATACACCCCAGTCTGGGATCAGGGGCCCCATAGGGGTCATCGGGGTTAAATTTTCAAAATAGCCCAATTGAGCTCAAATTTACCAGAAATGATCCTTAGGACTTTCTAAACACAAAAAAAAAAAAATACTCTTTACCCTATAACATAGGGTAAAGAGTATTTTTTTTATATATTATATCAAAGTTCATAGATCAAAGGTTCAAAATGTTACTAATGGCAAACGATTGAACCGAATTCAATCAAATTTGACCATTAAGAACCAGTGACACCTCCTACACCCCTGTCTGGCATCAGTGGTTACATAGGGGTCATTGGGGTCAAATTTTTAAAATAGCCCAATTGAGCTCGAATTGACCAGGAATGATCCTTAGGACCTTCTAAACATGAAAAACTACTCTTCATCTATAGGTAAAAATTCACAAGGGTCACTATAGTGAAAATTATCAAGTATTTCTATTGACTAACGATTGAACCAATTGCATTAGACAGACTTTTACCAAACATGGGGTGTTCACAGGTTGAGATTAAAGGTCACAGTGGTTATCTCTTAAAAAATGACTGGATTCATATTCTATTGAACATAGTATCTCTAGTTCTTTCTTTCATTTTAAAAGGCTACTAATGGCAAACTACTGGACCGATTTAATTAAAACTTGGTTAGTAGGACCGGTGCCACCTCCCATTTATGTGTTGTTCACAACTTGGGGTCAAAGGTCACATAAGGGGAATTAGGGTCAAAAAACCAAAAAGCGTATAAAAAAAAACTTGTCTTGCCGAGTGATCTCCTTCTCAATAGGGACTTTTAGATTGTGTGGACGTGAACCTGGTTTCACGTCGACTAGTCATGCGTGTCAACGTAGTCAACTACACCTGTTGACTACAAATGAAAACCTTTTAGATTTCAGTCGACATATAGCGCGCGCTAGACAACCTTATTAAGCAGCTGTCATGGCGAACCTTCATCGACTTCGCGAAATTGTCGTCTTTGCATATTCTACTGGTATCTTGGACGATGAGGAATTCATGTTTTTATACAATACAAATAAACCCAAAAATGCCGAATTCAGGTACCGAGATTATCAGAAATTTGATCTAGACAATGATGAATGTAATGCATAATCCAGGGCGCATCCGGTGCGTCAACTGGGATGATGCAGATAGTTAACAGGCCTCCCCGGCCGGCCGCGCTCGCTGCGGTGCAAGTTTGCATGGCATGCACACTGGCGTAAGCACGCTCATGAATTTCCACAGCCTTTTTTGTGTTTACGAAGGC